CCGAATTACTCGAGGACAGGAGCAGCGGCTACTGCAAGTGCCTTTCCTTCCTGGACCTTCCGGTCGTCAGTCATTGACATTTGTGGGAAGCACTCTTTGGAATGCCCTTCCCAGCGATATTCGCCTCCACAGTGCGGCGGTTGCCTTTAAACTGGCTCTGAACAGAATTAATTGTAATTTGTAACCACCTTGCTCGGCATCCCTACACATTACTGCATGTTTTCTCGGTGTTTTCTTCACTGCATGCTTACACATACACACACCCATTTGAATTATATACAAACTTTGTTCTTTAGAATTATCATGTTATGATTCTTTTTAATATTTCCTTCTCTCATAATATTATATTCGTTCTTAGCAGAAACCGGAGGTTTTTCCTCTGGTGAGAAGGCAGAATTGCCTGTGCTCTAAACGAATTCAAATAAAAGAAACAAACAAACAAAACTAGCAATGCTCCAGCATTGTACCCGTCCCGGATTTGGAGCGAAAACAAGCATTAGCGCCCAAAAGTGTCATTTTCTCACTTCATGAGTGTGCATTACTGACTGAAACGTACACACTGTACTTTGTACCAGCGGCTTTTGGCAGTTTTGCTTAAAGGGGAAGTTAAGGCAAAAATTAAAATTTCACCAGTTGTAGTCTTCGGGGTGCTGGGTCGAATGGTCTTGGTCCGAGAAAGCTGAGACGCTCCCTTCCTACTTGAATCCCAATCGAACTCGCGCACTTCCTTCCTTTGCGTCTCTGTGTTTTTCACTGTTTTTATTTGACATTATCTTTCTTTACGGAGTTGTTGCTGTTCGTTTTGCTACTCTTTCTTTTTCCCTCCCCTTATTTCTATTTATCGCCGTGGTTGGCAATCACCCACTCTCGTAACATTGGCCGGTGTTTCCGCCGAGTCTTGAGATGTTGTAATAATAATAATAATAAACTGGGTGACTGCGCCCTACTAGATGGGGATTTGTATGCAAAATGTCACTAAAAGCGCCATTTCGTTCTTATAAAAGCATGGATGACCGCGATTGGCCCATATGTTGTAGTCTTTTGGACGCTGAGTCGATTGGTTTTGGTCCGAAAAGGCTGCGACGCAGCGTTCCTCCTTTATTCCCAATCGAACATGGTTGAACAAGCGGTCACGTGCTCCTGGGTGCCCAAATCACCTGGTCACCACGCTAGCAGGCGACAACTTTCACACCAAGGTTCAACTCGAGTGACAGGACTGCACCCAAAAAAGGTCAAACAGGCTAGTAAGTTGTACCCTGCAGGCACGGTGACCAGGTGACTGGCGTACGCAGGAGCACGTGACCGCTTGTTCAACCATGTTCAATTGGGAATAAAGGAGGAACGCTGCATCGCAGCCTTTTCGGACCAAAACCAGTCGACTCAGCGTCCAAAAGACTACAACATATGGGCCAATCGCGGTCATCCGTGCTTTTATAAGAACGAAATGACGCTTTTAGTGACATTTTGCATACAAATCCCCATCTAGTAGGGCGCAGTCACCCAGTTTCGGTGGAAGTGCGCGAGTTCGATTGGGATTCAAGTAGGAAGGGAGCGTCTCAGCTTCCTCGGACCACGACCATTCGACTCAGCACCCCGAAGACTACAACTGTTACTGTACTGTGTTAGCCTGCGACTTCGCAACATGCGTCTCTTGTTGCGAATCTTACAAAAAAATTTGTAGCGGCAGCTGCTAGGTATAGACGTACCGCGTTAATGCCATCATGGGAAACGGAAAGAAACCTTGTCTTTCCTATTCACAGAGTCATGCAGTGCTGGCTTGCTTGCACCATGAGTACATCAAATGGAAATGTGTTGGAAGTCTCTGATTTTTCGGAGGAAGAGAGTAAGGAACTTGACGGATGAGTACGAGACAGAGGAGGATAATAAGGAAGACGAGAACGAGGCAGAGGTGGAGGATGAGCCCGGTGAGGCATGCGCACGACTGCCTAAAGCCAAAGGAGCAAGCACATCGAGGGTTAGATCACTTATATTGTACTTTTTCATACCACACAATATACTAAATTTCCAAAATAGCATTCCGTATGCACCCTCAAAGTACTTTGAAGACTGTCGACGTAGGGTTCTGATTTACTGTTATTCACTGCTAGTTCATGGTAGCAACTTCAGTTCCACATCATTTTGAAATAGCATCACCATAATCTACTTTCAAAGTACTAGGTACTTCCAATAGCAGTATTCCGTGCAGTGTGACTTACATTATGACACAATGCCATATGAGTGGTTCACATTGCCTTTTCAACTAGCATTACAAGTCCAAATTAGCATTCTAACGAGCATTATATGACCGAATAACTAGCAATGCTAAAATCATTTTGAACTGAAATAAGGAGCTGAAATAACTAGCATTACCCGCCGAGGCCTAGCTGGGATGACGACTAGGTACAGGCGGATTATACCGGCATAATTATTGGCATAATTTGGTGGTTGAAAATTTGGAGCACAACTTGGCATCCTTTCGCCGGAGGTAGGAGCATAACTACATGATTGTACCACAGTTCTAGTATGTATGCTACACAATTGTGTACAATGCACCTGATCAGTGCTGGACTGCTGGTGGTCTGCATGGTAACGGGTTCGGAGGTCATGCAGATAGTGTTTTCAATGAAAGGCAGGGTAGAAATCATGGCAATACCGGTACATTATTGTACGCTCGAACTCGTCTTCTTTAAAGTTCTTTCTCACACTGATACAGTGCATGTAGCAGAAGATGCAAGAGAATCCGTGCTGCCAAGCTCGAAATTCACCACAAAAAAAGTTCTCAAAATCCTCCTCCGAAAACCCCGCATGCTCCCATCTTCCACCCTTTATGCCCTTGCTGACACTACCCCTTTGTCTAAGAGACGCAATTCACATCTTGTCACCCTTATCCATTCTCTCAAACTCAATCTGTGTCCACCTCACCTCCACTGTTTCAACTGGTTCTCTTCCCGTAGCACGAGAAACTCCCTTTCCCTTCCGAAACCTAAGTCCTCCTTTCTACTTCACTCTCCCTTTTTCACTGCGTACTCTGCGTGGCTGGCACTTCCCCAAGAAGCTAAGGACCTTTCTTCCCTCCGCCTTTTTAAGAGCCTTGTCGCGCCTTGACTTTGATTTTGTGTTTCTCATTTTGTTGCAATCACTGCTTATCCATGCCGGTTCCTTTTTCTTCTCCTCCCCTTCCCCCTTCCTTGCCGTGGTTGGCTAACACCCTCTCTCTTTGTATTGGCCGGTGTTCTCACTGTGCTATGAGATAGTAATAGTTTCATGTCCAAGTCTTTTTAAAGTATGCATGTCGTACCGTGCGCGTGTGCTGCAAAAGTGAAATATGGGAGAAAAGTGCAGAAGTGCACAGAGGTCGCGTCCTGAACTCCTGATGTCGTCACCTCGGAAGCCACGCATGCGAAAACCATGCATGCATACATGTTTTTAATCTGAAAAGGCCGTTGCTTTTCCTTTGAAAATAGGGTGGGACCGAGCATAATTCAGCATAATTCAGCATATTTGTTGGCATAATCAAAAGCATAATTTGACGATTGGCCGAGCATAGTCCGCCAATGGCTATTGTCCACATACCAAACATGCATGAAATTTACCAGAAAAGGTACCGAATTCTGCCAATTTTTCTGCCGGCATTATCTGCCAAGGCCTAGGATGCATATCCCTTAATTTGTACTTACGGAGCCTCGAAGTTTGGAAAATTGTGCCTTTTTCGTACGTGGCCATAATAATAATAATAAAAATAATAATACGAAGTCTGAAGAAAATGTTGAACGGTCTCTGCTGGGATGACGACTACACCATAGCTCAGTGGTTAGAGCATCGCTGGCTACAAGCGAGGGTGCCTGGTTCGAGTTCTGGTGGTGACAGTCAATTTTTTCTTCAGACTTTTCCAGTTTGTCTCTTTCCCTCAAACCAGTAAAAAAAAAAATAATAATAATAATAATAATACAGGTCGCATGTCTCCCAAATAATGGGTTCCACGCATCTGTCAACTGTTTCATCATGAAATAGATAGCAGCAGGAAGAATAGCATACGAAAAAAACCATAATTTTACAGGTTCTAGCACATGACAAGTACATGCCATTTTTTTTACACCGATGTACATTTGTCAATGAAGTCCAGCCATAGCTTTTTGTCCCGTGCAGTGTTGAGGCAATCCTCGAGAGTGACATAATTACTACAAAATACATGAGTATCCCCATACCAAGGTGTCCATACATGCTAGAGATCAACATGGAAAAGAGAAAAAATTACTATTCTATTCATTAGTTGACTTCTTTTGTAAAAAGATTTTTTCATTGCCAAATTAGTTCGAGTTACCTTTGAAAATTATCATGTTCAACTGTCTTCCTAATCGTCATACTCGTCCAACCAATGTCTCCCTCACCCTGCGAATATTCCAAAATCAGCTCATCTCTCCCGTAGCTCCACCTCTCCTTCCATCATGACCGAACATAAACTATACCTCATTTTTTAATTGTTAGAGCAATATTCATAGCCTGCACGGTCATGGCTGCTAAAATCCAGAGGTCATGACTTCGAAACATGCATAATGTACATGTGCGTGGAGTTTTGCGGACTACCCGTCACTATCTCGTCCGCCCCGGGATACCTGATAAAGCCTGATTCTCTCGCATCCTCTGCTACGTGAACTGTATCAGTGTGAGAAAGAACTTTGAATAAGACGAGTTCGAGCATATAATATTGTATTGTCATGATATCTTCCCTGCTTTTCATTGAAAACACTATCTTCATGACCAACGAACCAATTACCATGCAGACCCCAAGCACTGATCACGTGCATTGTACACAATTGTGTAGCCTACATACCGGTACTAGAACTGTGGTACAATCATGTAGTTATGTTCCTACCTCCTAAAGGATGCTAAATTATGCTCCAAATTTTCAACCACCAAATTATGCCAATAATTATGCCGGCATAATCCGCCGGTGCCTATCACAGATACGACGCCCTGGAACAATGTATTTTAGCCAGTACTTGAGACATACGAAACTGTTTTTTATACATTATTCATCAAAGGATAGAAGGAGCATTGCATCCATACAGTTTTGGCATTGGAGAAGGCCAGGAAACAACAAAGGTTCGCTGAAAAAAGAAAATGTGTTTCGTGCAAGCAGCCATGCACACAGCTAGCTGCCTCATTTGACAGTGCGTGCACAGTGATGCAACTTGAAAACGAAAACAAGAAACTGCAATAGTTATATGCAATGTGAAACAAACACAGATATAATTTGAACATAGCAGTAGCAGACATTTGAGGGTGCTGGGGGAGGGAGGAGCTTGGCAATACATGGCGATCATTTGCTTGTGCATGATCATAATAATAAACGAGAGAAGAGTAACAGAAATGAACATACATGTACCGTGCATGTACTCGAAGTACAATCATGATAAAGGTTGTGCGGCATGCCTAGCAGTACACCCTGGTAAGCAGATTCCAAAAATTGAAACGAATAATTTGGCTATTTGCCATTGCAGCGAAGGAAAGAACTAGGAAACAAAAAATACATGATGCAGAGCCAAGGAAAGGTTAGCAATTGCGCTATGGAACGAAGTGACAACTTGAAAATGCACTGTGCGACATACCCTGCACATTGGATCCTCGAAAAGAAGAGAAAAAGCAACTGTACTGCATGTGACACTTGTAACGAGCAGCTAACTTGTTGTCAGACAAAGCACGACATGGCATTGTAGAATGGACACTGGACATTTAGGGCTGGTCCAAGTCCAAGAAAACTGAACGCTGTGTCTGCAATCAATACTGCATTGCTAAGGCAAAAATGGAAACATCTGTTTGAAGAGCGGCTGCGTCAGCCAATGGGCAAGTGGAGAAGCATGGAATGATTGCCGAGGCAGTGAAGTACAATCCTATGCACCTTGATTGGACTTTCGTCAAATTTTGCAATAATCATACAGATGACATGCAGAACATGGCAACAATAATACACAAAGTCTTGCAGGAAGCACGGGATGCAATGTGAAATGTAAAAAACATGTGAATGAAACAGTGGCCTAGTGGAAAAAACATCGGAATAAAAAGATTGTACGTGGCATAACAGCATGGAATTTGTATCACAACAAGAGGCAGAGTTCATGTATTCACACACACACACACACGCACACGCACACACACACACACACACACACACACACACACACACACACACACACACACACGTGACACACACACACACATGTGCGCATACAAGTGCGTGCATGAACAAGCACACACGTGCAGTGTGTGGAACGCGGCTGTGGCTTCAATTCAGCTGTTGCCAGGAGATAACGGATGTAGCAGATTTTGAACGCTCTATAGAAACAAAACCAGAATGAAAATCAATATGGTCAGTCTGATCATCTTTTCAAAGGATGCGGCAAATGTTAGAATATGTGCGTCTACTTCGCACTACAATGTTTTTCCACATTCCCAGACCCGGAGAAAGCTTGTTGCTCGTCCGTGACTGACCTGACTTACGGACGTTTTTGGCTGGTTATGTTTCAGCGATGAGATAAAGTTACCATCCTGAGCATGAAATGAATATTCGATAGGACATTTTTAAATAATCTAAAACCCTCCAGGAATTAGCTGAATTATTAGCCCAATCCCTAACAGAACTCTTAAACCGTTGCATTTTTTTAAGCAGTACGCAGCCTCTCGAGTGGAAGTCAGCGGTAGGCATTCCCCTGTACAAGGTTAAGGGAGATGCCTGTGACCCGCTGAGTTACCAACCCATAGTTGGCGGTCTTGCCTGTGACCCGCTGAGTTACCAACCCATAGTTGGCGGTCTTAGATTTCACTTGAATAGTTTGCAGGCAACCTGTCTACACTCAAGACAGCACTGCATTTCACACAAATCCATTAGGCCATCATTGTTATATCTATGTTTCGCGTCAGTACAACTTCCAGACTCATATGCGAGAGGCGGAAAAATATAAAGTTGCAAAATAATAATAAAAAGGCTCATCAGAGGTGTATAGCACTGTACATAGCACAATAGCTCGTGCGTGGTGTACATTCGAAAGAAAAATCGTACATCGAAGCACAAAATCTGGGTTGTCAGCATGAATAAATATTCACTTTGGACAGAGGAGGCAACCGTTGGTGCCCATGCTTCGCTGGATTATTGTACTCAGACTTCAGCAGCGGTGCAAAGAGCTCCGGAACCACACATCCTCTCAGCTTGAGGCGATCGATGAGGTCTGGTGTAAGCTCATAGAATACTGCTCGCAGATGCCGAACAAACGATTTACCAACGCTGGTCTTGGGGCCATTTCTGAAGCCCAGCTTCGCCGTATGCAACCAGTCCACACTGATGACTCGCACGATCGTACACTCACTGTACATGTTCGATTTTTTTAACTTTTGTCGGAAACAAATCAAAACGTATGCGTGCGGACGACGCGAAACATAGATAGAAAAGATGATGGCCTTAGAAGTATCGTTTCAACGTTTCGGTCTTCATGACCATCATCAGGAACGATGGTGATGAAGACCGAAACGTTGAAACGATACTTCTAATGGATTTGTGTGAAATGCAGTTCTCTCTTGAGTGTAGGCAGGTTGCCTACAAACTAATCAAGTGTAATGAAGCTGCGTGAAGCGTCCTTCAAAAATTTGAAACCGTCCTAGATTTAGTCATTATATTCAATCGAAGTCACTATACTGTTGAGAAGAAATAGTTGTCCTCATGCCGTGTGGTCATTCGTTCCTGACACTTAAGAGAATCAGAGGGTTCACAACAGCGGCCGACCCGACATAGACAGGAACCCAGAGTGGCTCAGATCACATCACATGCATGCTTGTTTCTTTTCCCCTCTTCTGGTCCTTGGTATTTCTTCGTTTGCCCTGAGTCGAGAGTCGAGGTCGACTCTTATTCAAAAGGTGTCGTTATGTTGCGAATATGATTTACGCACGTTGTTGTATTTGGTTCTTGTCCTGTAGAGTTCAATGTCTGATGTCATAATTACCGTAAAGTCGCGGATAAAAGCCGGGCTTATAAGCATATAAGCCGCTTTCTGCATCAGGCTTTAATGCAAACCAGGCTTGTATGCAAACCATGCTTATATGCACCACTGGTATTTTTGCCAGGCTTCTACGCGCGACACGCGTAGGTCTGCCACTGACTACCGGTATGGCGGCGGTTTTACTGTGCACCGTATATAGCGCATGCACTCTTGGCCTACCCGACCCGCGCTTGCATAGAAGCCAGGCTGCTACGCGCGACAGGCTTATATGCATTTGACCCGTTTGATTTTCAGGCTTCTATCCGCGATGTGCTTGTATGCAAACCCGGCTTTTATCCGCGACTTTACGGTATGTGCTAGGCAAAGTGGTTCAGGCGGACAGAGCCAATCAAGATAAACAGCATCATCGTTATAGCTGATCTACAGATGACTCATGGCTGCTGGCCGAACAGCACCGTTGAAGGTGTGTAGCCTGGAAAGAATGGAAAGATCGGTGCCATTGATGCCTGTCCAGCGAGTGGGATATTCCCTTGCCCAGTGTCGCGGATCTGCATTGTTGATGTTTAGGAGTAAGAGCCGATATGTTCGGGCTGCATCCATTAGCAACTGGGAGAATGTTGTTGCCAATTGCTTTCTTACGCATGATTTCGACCCTGCCTCTTGGTTGATTCTCATTTGACTTTCAATTTGTCCTGGTGGTGACAGTCAATTTTTTCTTCAGGCTTTTCCCGTTTGTCTCTTTCCCTCAAACCAGTTAATATTTTATGACTTGGGGCTCCCCGCGTACTAGTTTGTACGTGAAGTGTGTGGGTTACAGTGAGGGCTGCGTCCCACCCGCCTGTGTGGATTCATAGGAAGTGTGAGTTACGAAGTCTGAAGAAAATGTTGAACGGCCTCTGCTGGGATGACGACTACACCATAGCTCAGTGGTTAGAGCATCGCTGGCTACAAGCGAAGGTCCCTGGTTCGAGTCTGGGTGGTGACAGTCAATTTTTTCTTCAGACTTTTCCCGTTTGTCTCTTTCCCTCAAACCAGTTAATATTTTATGACTTGGGGCTCCCCGCGTGCTAGTTTGTACGTGAAGTGTGTGGGTTACAGTGAGGGCTGCGTCCCACCCGCCTGTGTGGATTCATAGGAAGTGTGAGTTACGAAGTCTGAAGAAAATGTTGAACGGCCTCTGCTGGGATGACGACTACACCATAGCTCAGTGGTTAGAGCATCGCTGGCTACAAACGAAGGTCCCTGGTTCGAGTCCTGGTGGTGACAGTCAATTTTTTCTTCAGACTTTTCCCGTTTGTCTCTTTCCCTCAAACCAGTTAATAATTTAAAAGTTGTTTAATAAAAACTTGGATGTTGAGCTAATGGTAGTATGTAAAGAGAAAAGGACCATTTTGTTTATACTAGTAATGACTAACAGTTCACCAAGGTAACGAGACGAGATAGCTTGAAAGCTTAGGGTATATCCTTAACCGAAATTGTATTCTTAAACGTAGTATTATTATTCTTTTTCTTCTTCTCCGCTCTATCAGCACTCGGCAGAAGGTAGGTAGGAGGTTGGTACCCACCGAGCTAGCATCCAGCAGCCAAAGCTGGGGCCTTTTCTTACTCCGCTAAAACCTCTGAACAAAACTGATGCGTGAGCCCACATTTCCCGCAACATATCCTAACTCGAACTGCGCTCCAGATGCTCCTGTTGTTCCTAACGAAGTAAAGTCAAAAATCTTCTGCTCTCGCAGGTTTGGTATGTGTGCTCGTACTAAGCCTCTTCTATGCCTTTAGTGCGAGTGGTAGGCAAATTGAGCTCTCTGACATGGACAGGCCAACTGTCCATTTCCAATGTCCAAACAACCGAAGTCTGTGAAGCATCTAGACATTACAAAGGCACTTCAAGCCTGCAGTCTCTTGCTTGGAAATGTCCTCCAGACCGACCTGCACGGCCGGCCCGGGTCTTGCGTTCTGACCCTGCGGGATTTCGCCACCAGGGATAAGCTGGTCGCAGCAACTCTGCAATTGGACGGTAATTGCATCGACATGCTACCGGGAGATGGCACGGTCTCCGCCACCCGTGTTTACATCTATGGTTGTGAACCCGACTTGTGGGTGGTGGTGGGCAGGTGGCCAGCTGTCTTTGATGGTACGGCGCTTCAGATGCTATGTCTAGATCTTGCCCTGAGACGTCAGCTTCCTGTTTGTTATTGATTTTCATTGCGTTTTGTTCATAACCCCTGGGGGTATTCTTGCTTGTACTCATAAGATAATCTAGATCTGTGCTACAGTACGCACAACATACTCATGTTACGGTACGGGACGCATACGGTATACCGCGCACACCATGGCGCGTCACGTGAAAGGCCCTATCACAGAAACCAAGAGTACATAACCCCCCAAAAGAGTACATAACCCCCAAGAGTGTGCAACTCGACTGTGGGTGCTGTCTGGACAGAATTTCAAGTTGACGTCATTTTTATGATGCAATGCGCACTGTACACAGATTATCAGACGAATCCGGAACCAGGGACCTGCACATATGTGCATGTGGTGGACCAAAGCACATCTGATCCTGTACAAATTATTGCAAAGAAAAACGTGTTCTGCGTTGACACCGTACACATGTTGTAAATCACTGGTGCAAGCTTGCAAGAAGCATTGCATCGGGACAGCAGGGTATGTGGGAGTTGCACACTCTTGGGGGGTTACTAGTATGTACTCTCACAGAAACAGAAACCGATTCACAAGTCCTATATCCACATGTGGCCAGAAGTCTTTGCCAGCAGGGTACGGGACATGACCGGGATAACCGATAGGGCCAGGCATGGTGCGTCACGTGATGACGGCTCTACCAACCGAACAGGGAACAAGTTAGTAGATTGATGCTTGTTCTGCGGTTTTTTGCTGTCGACGCATCCTGTCACGAAGTCAGCGCGTCTCCAAACGATGAGACCTTTGCTTTCGTCGTTTCTTGTTGTCATCATAGCCGTAACCAGGGTGGGGCAATTCGAGGGCTGCTTGAGCAACCCCTTCAATGTGGCAAACTTCGCTGTATTCTCTTCTACTTGTAGTACAACGAGTCACATAATCTGCCAGAGACAGCATCTCGTCCGGGCCTGACTTATCTTCGCCCTCGAACGTTGCATCCGTTTCGTGACCGATACGCACCCACTGGCCCACACTCTTCCCTTGTACACCAAGTTGGGTGTCTGCCCAGTGCTGGAATGAAGGGAATGCAAGCTCCGACTCCTGACATTTCGAATCCGTTCTGGAATTGTCAGTGAGCTGTTGTCGTCCCGCATTGTATTGCAAAGCCCACCGGCAGGCATGGCCACTCGAGGTCGGTTGGGACGCAGC